CGACCAACTACTGAACTCCTCAACCTCTTATTCAGAAGGTTTGAGCAAGCATCAGTTCCACCCTCCACCTCTACCACTTCCTGATCCCCCTTCTCCATCCAGGTGGAAGAAGTACGAAACACCTTTAGGGCGCTTAAAAGGAGTAAGGCGGCTGGTCCAGATAACATCACACCCTCTATTCTCCACTGTTGTGCTGTAGAACTGGCTGACGTCTTCACTACATTATTCAATCTCTCCCTCTCTCTATGTCAAGCACCTTTGTGTTTTAAGGAATCCATTATCATCCCTGTCCCTAAGACCAGAACGACCTCCTGCCTGAATGATTATAGACCTTTTAGGTCTAAGGGTTCTAGGTCTACATGGTTTAGGTCTTAAAGATTTTTAAGATGTGGTTTCTCCATTCTAATTAAATGTGTCTATAACTAAAAGGAGAATAGAACAGCGACAGTAGAAAATAATGATTTTTCCTTTGTACCCTCAGAGCTCCTCTGGATCAACTCTTAAGGTCCATGCAGTTCGGTTTGGACCAGGTCAGGAGCTGCTGGGCTCTCTGCAGGCCTTTGTGGAGCAGCTGCACCTGGAGGCACCCTTTGTCATCACCTGCGTGGGAAGCGTCACAAAGGCGACTCTTCGTCTGGCAAACGCGTCGACAACAAACACAAACGAGGTGTGGGAAATTTTCAGACTACAGTAGTTAGTTGGGTCCAATTTACCCGAGTCATGGTTAAACACTCTCGTGACCTCACAAGGTCAAATGTCAAACTTTTTCAGAGTAAACAAATGGAGGTTTAATTTACTCCTTTTGGTCTCAGAACATTTGATAAGTTCATGTGACCTGGTGCAGGGAGAGCTCCCGCTCTCATAAGACCTGAAAGCATGATCCATGTGGATTCAGTTCCTGGGTCCTCATTTAGGGCCTAGTAAGTAATGGGCCATTCCCATCTGTACCGGGTCGGCCCGGGCCGGGTAGCGTAGGTTGTTTACATATCTGGGTGGCCTGGTATTTTTCCGGGCCAACCAAGGCTCATTCTCAGCCCTCTTCTCGAGGGGGTCTGCTTCAGGCCGACCAGGGCCAGCACACCCACTGCTGACAGCAAACTCACACCTTCCATTAGAGCAAGCCTCTGATTGGTGGGTAGAATCAGCCCACATGGGCTTAAGACAAGGATGTGTGGAATCAACCGGGCCAGACTGGGGCCGACTGGGGCTACCTGGCCCGGGCCGACCCGGTACAGATGGGAATGGCCCATAAGAAAGAAAGAAAAGATCTTTTCTAGAGTGGCTCTCAAGGTAAAACTCACGAGGCGCTTCACAAAAACAAAACATTTAAAATATAAAAAAGATTTTAAAAAAATCAAAAACATGTTTAAAATCAGCAAAAATAGACAATTGTGATTAAAACAAGCAAAGAAAGAGCGTGCTAGAGTGTCCGCCCTGGACTGGGAGAGCGGGGTTTGATTCCCGGTCGGGTCATACCAAAGACTTTAACAATGGGACCCAACACTCAGCTATGAGGGGTTGGATTGGTTAGACCTGAAAATAGTCCCGCTCCCCTCCATGGGGATGGGTCAAATACGGGGATTCCTTCCTGCGACCAAAATTTTAAATGTTCGTACGAACAGGAAGAAGACTGATTTATAAAACATGCGGTGGCCTCTTGAACACACATTTCTCCGCAGCCGTCTGATGATAAATCCCACCTGTGCATAAGTACGTTGGATAAATGAGGGTCCTGGTTTCTGGTTTCAGGTGCTTCATCTGAGTGGGCGGTATGAGATTGTCTCCCTGGTTGGAACCCTCAACCCAGACGCCCACCTCCACATCAGCCTGTCAGACTCAATGGGCCAGACCATCGGGGGTCATGTCCTAGGGGACCTGGAGGTGTTCACCACAGCAGAGGTTGTCATTGGAGAGGCGGTCAACCTGCGCTTCAGCAGAGAGATGGATGAGAGGACTGGATTCCCAGAACTAGTGGTCCAGTCTGATTCAGAAAGCAACAGAACCTGAAGTTCAGTTAGTTGGTTGTTAGTTAAACTGTCAGTTAGTTTGAGTCTCAATCATAGCTCAATAAAAATGATCGTCAACAGGTTAATTAAAAATGAAAACTAAAATTTGAGAGACTGGGGATAAAATGTCAGGTTTGGGGTTTGGTGGTTTACTTTAATGATGAAGAGAGAACAGGGTTAGGGTTGAGGTTGAAACTGACACTAGACAGGGTATCCGCGGGTCCTTAAAAAGTCTTAAAATGTCTTAAATTAGCTTTTCCAAAGTTAAGGCCTTAAAAATCCTTAAAAACTACAAATAATCCTTAAATACAGTTTCCATAGGTCTTAAATTTTCAAAGACCAAATAAACAAGATTCTTTTATTTCTTTAACATTTTCGTGAATTTCTATTTAATGTTCAGCATTTTTTGTGTATGATGTTGGTGTATGCGGAACCGTATACATTCAGTTGGTTGTGAAAGGGGGCCAATTTTAGATGAGCACATTAGCTGGTTAAACTAGTGGGAGCTTGCGCCATGGGGAAGTGCAAGTTTAATGGTAACTGGATGGCTAATCCCATGTTCGTGACGTGGTTAGCACCGGTTCCAGGCAATAGCTGGAAATTAAAGCTTAAATTAAATTTAAAAAATAGCTTAAATTTGGTCTAAGTAGCCTTAAAAAAGGTCTTATAAAGTCTTAAATTTGGCTCCCTTAAACCTGCAGATACCCTGCTAGAACTGGTATAGCAGTGACTGATGGCGCTGTTGAGGGTTACAAATGGACCAAAGCAGTGTCCCTCAATAGGCGACATGCGACCTAGACCTGGCCTGCACACCTCTACTTTCTGGCCCTCAAACCAGGACCCTCATTTATGCACCGTACTTACACACAGATGTGTGCATAGGCAGGAGTTTAGGCATTGTGTGGTATTTACCTACTTGTACTTGTGTGTGAACATGTTCCTAAATATAAGAACAGCTGTGACCATGCACAGCATCTAGTGGCAGAACGGGGTAACAGCAGTACTGAAGGTCTCAGTCATCCACTAATGTCATTTACCCAGTATGTAGTTTTGTCGGTGGGAAAGCAGCTTTACGCATTATTGGTGCTAAAACCAGTAAAAGACACATGTGACCGAAGGGTCGACATATATACTGGACAATGGCTTTCCATAGATCACGTTTTTGTACTAAAATGGGAGGTGGCCACCACCACCATTTTGACTGTGTCACAGGTTCCATCAAGCCCAGACAATTCCAAAAAAGTGAAGAGAGGTGGAGCTGAGGGTGGGGCTGTAAGGCTGGGATCAACTGACGACACCCGGTCGAACTAGCTACAAGCTAACCTGAAGCTAACCCAAAGCTAATGCGGAGGTGGGAGCTAAGCTAACAGAGGTAGCAACCTAGCTACAACCGGAGTTAACTGTGCACAACACCAGAGCTTCTGAAACCGAGATACGCCGGGCTGACCGCTGGGTAAAACCGGGTGGAACACAGAGGTCTCCGAGACCTCCACAAGCCGGCAGCCGTACAGCAGACAAGCCACTGCGATCTGAGATGCGCAGAGCTGCCGCTGGGGAGAACCGGGTCGAAAGTTTTCCATCCCAGAGCTCCCCAAGCCGACAGCCCGCTCAGCAGACAGAAGCCGCGATCAGACAGAGATGCACCGGGCTGCGGGGAGGGGAGAACAGGTGGAAAACATCGGTCTCCCGAGAGCTCTACAAGCCGATAGTCAGAACCCAGCTCCACCAACATGTTATATTTCAACCCATTTTCTAAAGTGCAGCATTATGCTAAATGCACTGGGTTTTACCCTATTACATTTAAATGTCATGGTTAAACAGTACATGTTAAAATCTAAGCTTAGCTTGGCAGTGACCTAAAATACATAAATATAATTTTACTTACCGAAAAAAATGAAGTGGAGACTCCTTGGACGCTCTATCAGTGCAACTAATGCCACAGCAAGTCATTTTGTCCAACAATTGCACTAAAAATATCCAAACAAGAATACACACACACACAGAGACTCAAAATCCCGGAGCAGTTTCCAAGCCAGACCGAGGCTCTACTGAGGCCTTTCCACGGAGCTAGCTCTGTGGTCACGTGGGTCTGAGGCGGCGGTCACGTGGGTCGGATGCTCATTAATTATACAGAATTTTAGGCTTTTAATACACTTAAACAGAAGAGTGAGAAAAAAATGCACCCCCCTCAGAATTGTCATCAGTGTAAACTAGATAATTTAAACAAAAAACATGTTTTGGTACCAGGCTGTAAACATGTTTATTTCTGCTGTGAAACTGGTATTTTTAACATGGGAGTCAATGAGGATTTGCTTGCTTCTGACACCAGCCCCCAGCGGATGAGGGTGGAACTGCAATTTTTGGTACTTCCGGGTTGGGCCCAATTTTAGAGCAGCATTGTGGGGGCTTGATTTAGGTTCAAAAAGGGCCACTCCACTGAAACTGCTCTGTTAGCAGTGACAGAATCCTTAAAAGATGCTAGAGCAACGGCCAAATCCTCAGTGCTTATCCTGCTCGACTTATTGGCTGCATTTGACACTGTCAACCATGGCTTCCTTTTGTCCACACTCTACCATGGGCATCACAGAGAAAGCACACGCCTGGTTTGAATCGCACCTCACATGATGATCATACAGTGTATCTTGGCTTGGACAATCCTCTACCATGCACCATCTTGCCACAGGAGTCCCCCAGGGCTCTGTACCAGGACCTCTTCTCTTTGCCATATACACCACCTCACTGGGTGAGATCATTCAATCACATGGCTTCTCCTACCACTGCCATGCAGACGACACCCAGCTCTATTTGTCATTTCCAGCGGACGACCACACAGTCTCTGCACGAATGTCAAACTGTCACTCTAACATATGAAAATGGATGAAATCCCACCATCTCCAACTCAACCTCTCTAAAACTGAACTACTTGTCATGCCAGCAAAACCATCCATACAGCACAATATCTCAATCCAAAATGACTTCCTATCTCTGGCTCCTTCAAAGGCAGTTCGAAATCTGAGTGTTGTGATTGATGAACACCTGACCTTTACAGATCATGTTGCCTCTGTTGCTCGTTCATGCCGCTTTGCGCTGTATAACATACGAAAGATCAGACCATACCTAACACAGCATGCCTCCCAGCTCCTGGTGCAATCTACTGTCATCTCCCGCCTCGATTACTGCAATGCCCTTCTAACTGGCCTTCCAGCCTGTATTGTGAGACCTCTTCAAATGGTCCAGAACGCAGTGGCGCGTCTGGTCTTCAATCAGCCAAAAAGAGCACACGTCACCCCTCTGTTCATTGAGCTCCACTGGCTACCGCTAGCAGTACGCATCAAATTCAAATTGCTAACACTAGCATACAAAGTCAGAGATGGTACGACTCCCATCTACCTGAATCCTCTTGCAAAGGCTTACGTCTCGGTCCGGCTGCTCCGGTCATCACAGGATCGTCGGCTAGCAGTGCCTACACCACGCTCAGGACAATCCAGACTCTTCTCATGCATCGTTCCACAAATGTGGAATGACCTTCCAAGCACTACCAGAACAGGGGCTTCCTTTTCAATTTTCCGGTGTTCATATCTAGAATGAACTTGCCGTTGACCTCAGAGGTCATGCTTGCTTAAGTAGAGATATGCAGGATTGAGGCCATGACTACTCTTGAATGTAAAAACAATGATTTAGAATTGTAATCTGACATACTGGGAGCTAGTTCAGCTCGTAGAAGTGATGTAAAGCAGACTGATACAGAGGGCTCACACCAGTACTGCACCAGTTCAAGCTTCGGCTCCAGTTTTACCCTCAGATCCAGCCACAGCTACAGATCAAGGTGCAAATGTGGTTGTTTTAATTAGAAGATTGATCTTAAAATAAATTCCATTCATTCAGCCATTGGTCAGCCAGGACATTAGCCGGTTAGTTGGTTAACTTTACTGCATCACCCAGGGGATTGTGGGTCTTTATGCTTCTCAGCAGGTATTTTTGTAGCTTTTAGCGACATAAGGCAGCGCTGCAGCAGCACTGTGGCGCAGCTACAAAGCCTCCCTGCTGCAGCTTTGTGTTTGTGTTGTGTTCACACAGCATGGTAGCTGGAGGCGTTGGTGGTCTGCCCTATGGGGGGGGGGTTGCACTGAGATGCAGCCTGTGATCTAAAGTCCACTTCCAGTTCTGTGAATGGCATGTTTGTATGTTGGAGGTGATTAAAAGTCCCGTGTTTACTGAGCGATCGCAGAAGTTGTGTTCGTTATGGGCTGCTGTTACTTCCTGCTGTGACACACCAATTACTCCACCTTTTTCCTGCACAGACACACGAATTCTACATGGCAGGTCTTTTTCTGACTGTCCTAACATGACCTTTAACCAGCTGACTGTAAATTTGGAATGAAGCTGGTGGAACATCCACTTGTGGACACTGAGAGCTGTCCATCTCTTCCCTTCTTTGTGTACAACGATGGACTGAAGATGACCTTTGACCCCTCCCTGTCTGATGAGCAACATGTTAACACACACCAACATGCTCCTGCTTATCTAGAGGAGCTGATGATAATGTCAGCAATAATTCTGATCCATATGAGGATGGATGGATTAAAAAAGCAATGAACCATGTAAAACACAAATAACCTTGCAGTCTTTTTGCTGTTTCTGTAATCCAGATTTAGACCAAATCAGATTCCTTCAGTGATTAATTAGATTTAGTCCTGCCTGTCATAGCGCCAGGTGGACCTGTGGTTTGGCACTCTGGCTTTGGTGGCTGCCTGTGAAGCTCCACATGTTAGTTGAAGGACCACTGACCACTGTTCACCTTTTTTTTTAGTGTAGATGTGCTTGTTTCTGGCTACAAATGATGTATTAACTGTTTCTGAACAAGCAGAAAAAAAGTGTTAAAAGGGTATTAAATTTAACTATTTAACTATTCATGGGCAGCAGTCAATCAGAAAGGTGGGGCAGGTTGTCCGTTAATCAGAAGGTAACAGGTTCGAACTCAGCTCCTGCCATAGAATGCTGCTGTTGGTCAAGACACTCAACTCTCCTTGCCTGCTGTTGGTGGTCGGAAGAACCGCTGACGCCAGTGTTCAGCTGTCAGTGCATCCAGGCCAGCTGTAGTTACATTGTAGCTCATCATTACCAGCATGAAAATGTGTGTATGAATGGTGGATGACTGATTGTGTTGTGAAGCACCTTAGGGGTTGTGAAACCATACCATACCATACCATACCATCATTTATTTATATAGCACCTTTAAAACGCAGCATGGGAGCTGCCCAAAGTGCTGCACAGGCTAAAACAAAACACAACCATTCTAAGGAACTAAAACAAGATAAAAATACCAGTCAAAGCAGATAAAACATGATGAATACTAAGAACACATTAAAC